AATCAGTCCATTTCAGCTCACTAATGCCGAGGATATCAATCTTTATGCATTCCATTTCCTTTTCGACAACTTCCAATTTTTCTAGATTCATACTTCATACATTCCATGTTCTGATGATTAATGGATGTCTGCAGCTGTTTCTCTTCAATTTGACTGGTGCCACATCAGCAAATGGAGGTCTCGAAAGCTTAACTTTATCCATAGGAGTAAGGCTGGGTTTACTTAGATGACACAGCTCTTTCCCAGTCCTATTCTGATAGCCTTCTAACCTAACTGGACTATTCATAAAGTTGTGCGGTAATGTATCAAACAGTGTTTCTTTGCTATTCATAAGGTTTTCCCTGGCCAATTCTTTGAGAAGTGGACGGCCTCCTCCTTCTTCCTAGTCTGTCTCAGTCTGTAAGCTGGGCTGATACCTGTAAAACATGTGCATCCTGCTGGGTTTGAAACACCAGTGGCTCAGCCTCAAAACTCACATCAACACATCACCACGGTAGGACACACCGACAGACAAGGTTGTCTCTCTGTTGGAAACCTGTCATGACAGCCTTACCTGGGTTGATGAGAGACACAACATGATCAAGATTTAAGTCCCCAAAACCCCACACTCATTGCTTTCAGAGTTGATTCTAATTGATGGCACCCATGTGTGTCATAGCTGAACTGTACTCCATGAAGTTTCCAAAGGTTGTACTCTTAAGGAAGTAGATTTTCAGGCCTTTCTTCTTGGCACTGTTGAGCGGATTTGAACTGTCTACCTTTTGCTGGGGTGGCGGTTCAAATCCACCAGCCACTCCTTGGAAGGAAGATTGGGTAATTTACTTCTGTAGAGATATTACCTGGGAAACCAAGGATGGATCCCTGTGAGTCGGATCTGACTCAATGGTAGTGAGTTTGGTATGGTTTTTTTTTTTTTGAACCTTTTGCTGAGTGCAAACTATTTGTGCCACCCAAGCTGCCTTGATCCAGGCTAGGATAACTCAATGTTTTAAAGCTGTTGGCTCTCTATACTTATTTCTAGATTCTATAGTATTCTGCCCAAAATCTGACACTACTTTTGGAAATGATTTAGAAGAACTAATTGGATTCTCTGATGAAATGTGGAAATGAGGGACTGGATGATGTCAAAGGACCCTTGCTTCCTAGGATTCCCCTGGGAGCTGGGGAAGAAAGCAAAACTCATCCACAGAGTTTCTGTTCTCTCCACAACACAACACAAATACCAAGACAGAAAACTGCTCCCATGTAGAATGGCCAGATCACTCCACTTTGCCTGAGACTTTCCCATATTTAGCACAGAAAGTCCCCCACCCAGGGTACCCCAGAGTCCCAAGTAAACTGGGATGGTGGGATAAGGAAAGTTGAGATCAATTTAAATCATTGACCCAACCCACTGTCATGGAGTCAATTCCAACTCACAGCGACCCTGTAGGATAGAGCAGAACTACTCCATAGGGTTTCCAAGGCCGTAAATCTTCATGGAAACAGATGCAGAGTGGCTAGTGGGTTTGAACTGCTCACCTTTTGGTTAGCAGCCAAATTCATTAACCACTGTGCCACCAGAGCTCCTCCTTAAGCCGCTGAATCATTGCTGAAATTTTGGACTAGCCAGGCTGTCAGGATTCTGGGCTCTGACACTGAGTTCCTCTCTTTTTTTGGGCCAAACAAAGGGGTCTGTCTGAAGCCATGTATTTCATCATGACTCAGCTCACACTAAAATGTGGCTTCCTGACCCCAGACAGAGGTTCTGTTTTTCCATCAGTCTGTGCACCACACCAGGCTTCATGGATGTCACACATATGAGATCATCTCAGTGCTGGAACTTGTTATATATTTGCTACTTTAGTGTTTGAGATAACCAAACCCAACTCACTGCCAGAGTTGATTCTGACTCATAGCAACCCTGTAGGCAGAGTAGAACTGTCCACATAGGGTTTCCAAGGATGTAAATTTTTACAGAAGCAGACTGCCTCATCTTTCTCCTGCGAAACAACAGGTGGGTTCTAACAGCCGACCTTTTGGTTAGTAACTGAATACTTTAACCATTGTGCCACCAAAGAGCCTGCATTTGGGGTAGCCATCAACAAATTATGGGGAATCAGGCAATAAGTGAGGTGTTGCAGGTAGAGTTGTAAACTGGACAGAGGTGTACAGCATCATCTATGTTTTATAGATGGGGAAAATCTGGCTCAGAGAGGGCTCAACACTTCCCAGTGCTCCCCAGCTGGTAACAGTAGAAAGAGATTCCAAAGCTAATGTTTAACCCCCAACCACTCACTCTCTCTGTTGCACTGTTTGCAAAGGGCGTACAACTTGATGTAAACAGCTTCTCTCGTCAGTTGGAAGAGTAGAAGCTTCAAGGATTGAAGGGTTTGGGGTTGGAAAAAATCTACCTGGCCCTGGATTGGGTGTAGTAGGAGGTGCTTGGCTTTCTCCAGGCCCACATTGCTTGAAAGATTCAGTGAAAGGCCAGCCACAGTTTGCATGGCTTCACCTTTCCTCTTCCTCCCTTCTCCTAGCAGGTCCTGATCAAACCCAGTAGTCTTGGGCCAGGACTTCCCACCTGTTCTGCCACACCATGAAGTCCATGCTTCTCTGGCTCTTGCTGTTCTTCTGCCTAGCACCGCAGCCAGTACCTGGGGATTTCCAGACACACTTTGTGAGTAGGTGCTGGCTCTGGGTCCAGGGGAGGGGAGCTGCAGAGAGATGAGGATCTGAAGGTTGACAGCCTGGACACCCTAGTAAAGAAAGTTAGTGCCATGTTAAAGGGTCCATACTTGATTGTTAGTATTTCTATCCCTGCTCTGTTGCTTACTAAGAGACAAAGGATGTGAGCCTCAGATTTTCATCTATATAATGGAAATAATGACATTGGAATAGCTGGAGGGAGAACAGAAAACCCATGTAGAGACAAAGGACTGTTACTGGACCATGGTAATTGCTCAATAGTATTAACTTATAAGTGTCCTCAACCTCACCATCTAAATTAGTCTTCATGGATTCTTGGACCACCTTTTCAAGCATAAAAGCACTGAGGAAAATTAAATTGGTCAAACTCCAGCTGAAATCTATATAACCTTGGTCTTAGAAATTATTATGGAAGGAAGATGAGGGAAGTCTTGCCACCTCCTTGGTCTTAGAAATTATTATGGAAGGAAGATGAGGGAAGTCTTGCCACCTCCACGCCCCATTTAAAAAATCCTGAGGTTAATTGACAATCGTTAGAGATTTGCACCAGTAGAAGGAATTAGATTCCATTTCAGCAGCCACCACTGCCAAGCTGAACCCAAGAAGACCACTGGGTCACTGTCATGTTGACCTTCAACAAAATCAAAAGGAGTATGAACTAATATTCATTTTATGTGCACTGTTTGGTCCGAGGAGCATCTTTTAGAATACTGGAGGCTCAGAAGAGGTCCTGTATGGTAGCTCACGTGTTGTGAAGAGGTTGAGGGGGCTATGGGAGCTAGTGGAGAATGTGAGTGTCAGAGGCAGAGTTAACTGGAGAGTCAAGGGAGAGCCACAAAAGACTTTCTGAAAGGCTCCTTAGTGCTATGAGCAAGACTGGGACCAGATACCCAGGAGAGGGTGTGAAACTTGGAAGGCTGACCTCTCTGAGATCCCTAGTTCATGGCCTCCTTCCCCACACTGCTCCATTGAACCCCAGATTCTTCAGAGTGGGGGCCAGTTCCAATTGTGTGCATTGCCCCAGTGAGCTATGGGATGCCCGGGAGGCCCAGGATGAGTGCTGAGTTACTGGTCTCTGCCAAATTGTAAGTTTACAGCTTGGGCCTCAGCTTTTTTTTTTTTTCTCTTTTCATGGTGCCATTTACTGATGCAATTATAGCTCTAATATCATTCCTCTCATATCAGTATACCAGCCTACAGCCCCCTCTCCAATTGCAAATACCTGCAGAGCAACAAATCAACAGGGCTTATAGAATACCCACATTAGTGATGCTTGCCGCTAGAAAGGCCAAGTCACAGAGCACAAAAATTAGGGCTGGCAGGGCTTGGGGAAGGGAACGTGTGGGACTAGAGCTCAGGAAATGCCTGTGGTTGAGACCTTTCAGCAATCTGTGGGCTTGACTTTGATCTGGAATACTGGGGAGCAATGGGGTGTCAGCATGAAGACACCTGTTCTTTAACAATGGAAAATGGGAGCAGCTTGGCATTCTGCATCTATTATGGATTGAATTGTATCCCCCAAAATATGTGTTGCAAATCCTAACTTCTATGCCTGTGATTAGAATCCTGTTTAGGAATGTGTTTTCTGTTATGTTAATGAGGTAATCTTTTAAAAGAGATAAAAAGAGCAGATGAGGCAAGCAGAGATGGGGTAAACTGGCTGCTAGGACACAGAGTGATCTCCAAGGAATCAGGAAACAAGTGGAAGAGACAAGGATCTTCCTCCAGAGCCAACACAGAGAGAAAATCTTCCGTAGAGCTGACACCCTGAATTCGAACTTCTAGCCTCTTGAACTGTGAGAAAATAAACTTCCGTTCGTTAAAGCCACCCACTGGTGTTATTTCTGTCATAGTGGCACTAGATAGCTAACACAGGCTTCTGGATCAGAAAGACACCAGTTAAGGGCAGTGAAGGAGAGGCTGAATCTCTGTACCTCATTTGGAAATTTCCACTCTCCTCATGCATGAAACAAATCACTTGGAGAACTCACTTGTGAATTCAATTCTAGCTCTCTGGTCCCAGTACCTTCAGTGTGCTGTGGTGTCTTTGTTCTTTCCTGAACTTCCCTTCTGCTTATTCTTCCTATACCGAAATATCCCATGTTAGAATGACCCTAGGGAAAAAAAGCAAAACTGGTTAATGAGTGGCAGCATGACTTGCTTAAGACTATGTACTAAATCCACGCAGAATCCACATGTAAACCCCTCTCTAATTCACTGCACATACCATTCTCTGAACTGGACCTGACCAAGGCCTAAGGGGACTTGACATCTGACCCACAAGGATAGTGAATGGCCAGCCAATGCTGGGTCTACCCAACACTGTCTTGGATAATATATGCCATGGTTTCTCTGCTTGGAATGCAAAGGAAGAAGTGGTGGAAGTTCCACTTCCCTGGGACCACACCAGCGAGGTCATGGGAACAGGATGGCAGCTTCCTGAGTGTTGGAAGTCTGAAGGTCATGCTCACAGCTGTTGCTGGACCCTAATTTTACCTCTTCTGTGTTCCAGAGTATATCTTGGAACCCCCACCCTGCAGATCTGCACCGGAAAGTTGCAACAAAATCTGTACACATAACAAAGATTGCCAAAGAGGGCTTCAGTGCTGTTCTTCCTTTTGTGGGATAGTCTGTTCACTGAACAAAAAGCCGAGCAAGAGACAAAAAACCATTCGTGACCCACAGCTTTCAAGAGAGTTCAACAGAAGGGTCTCTACGATTCACTATGGTACAGTTCCTTCTTCTTCCTCTTTTTTTTGGTTGCCATATTTCCAACATTCTCTTCTTTACCAAGGATGATTTTCATAAATGTTTTGCTTAGAAGATCCCTCCACCACTCTCCCTGTTACCCATAGCTGTGTATCTCTGACTCAACCTCTCTGAGCACACTCTCAAAGCCCCCATCCACAGACTCAGTCCTGTCTCAGATCCACCTTTATCCTTGGGTGTCAGGCCTCATAGCATCAGCTGAAACCCCAAAGCAAAAATTCCATTTTGGCTCCCTCCTTTTACCAGACACCATCCTTTGGCCCCACATTATTCTTGGGCTCTGGAGATCCAATCCAAGAGAAGCTTGGTTTCATTGCCTGCACATCACCACTGTCCCACCGTCAGCTGACTGGAGGACTCTCCCGGGCCAGAGAAGGGGCTTCAGGTTGATGAGACATCCTGCCTTCCAATCCCTTCTAGCAGCTAAATCTTTCCATGTCATTGAGTAAAACAATTCCTTTCTTTTTGCCTCTCTTTTTCCCATCAGTAAAATGAGAACTCTATTTTTTCCCTGTCTTGCAAGAATGTTATAAAGTCTAAATAAGGTCTCAGAAGCCCCAGGAGCAGGAGACTCACTCAGTGAGCTCCTTCAGGGAAGCCTGACTATCTCATTCTCTGCTGTTTTTTCCCTTGAGCACAATATACTATTTATGAGGCAATGTGCAACGATTAGGTCTGGGGTCTGGAGCCAAATAGCTGAAACAAATCCTGGATCTGTCACTTCCTAACTGTATGATCTTGGACAAGTTACTTAACCTCTCTGGACCTCAGCTTCCTCATTTGCTGCTGTTGAGGTGCTCTTGAGTCAATTTCAGCTCTTAGTGATGCTATGTGACAGAGTAGAACTGCCTCATAGGGTTTCCTAGGCTATAATATTTATGGAAGCAGATTGTCAGGTCTCTCTCCCTTGGCGCTGTTGGGTGGATTTGAACTGACAACCTTTTGGTTAGCAGCCAAATGCTTAACCATTGTGCCACCAGGGAGCCCTCATCTGTAGGACTGGAATAATAACCATGAGATTAAAATACATAATCCAGGTAAACCTCTAAAAACATTATTATACATAATAATTGCCTAATAAATTTTAGCAATTAGGCAACGACTTCTCTCTCAAAAGCCTAGTCCTTGCCTCTGAACTCCACATCTTTCTGGAATGCAGAATAAATGTGATTAATCACTGTCACTGAGTTGGTTGAGGTTCTGCATTCCGCGTGGCAGAAGAACTCAACTTCATGGTGCAGTTTTAATAATGGAAGTTTGGGGATGTAAAGAATAAAACCTCACCAGATAATATTGTAAAATATTTCACAGACACTAACAGAAGCTCAAGAACCATGGTTCCTGGCCCCTGTGGCTTGTTTCCTTGGACATTTTGTAAGATCACGGGTTTGCCTGGCATTCAAGGCTCTTCCTGCCTCACCAGGTGTGAATTTCCTAGAAATGGTCCTTTTCTCCTCTAGCCTCTCCAGGAGCACAGCGATTCTTACAGAATCAAAGTATCTTTTGTCACCAGATTATACCATCTTTCATTCTTCACCTTCAGGGCTATCTTCACCCCAACTCCTACCCCCCAGAATGCATAGGAAGTAGTTCCACAGCCCTGGGGACACTAGGGGCTAAGAGCTTGCCAGCGAACAGACTCTTCCAGCCATTGGGTTGAAAGCACCCTGGCAGGTGATCAAGTGAATGCTTCATGGCCCTGTGGTCAGGGGCAGCTCACTGTGCCTCTCTGAGACTCCCAGCTTCCTAACAAGAAACATGAAGAGAACACCTGTGCCATGGGACTTTGTGAGGACTACCTGTGGTCCTGTGGATGGAAGAACTTGTCAATGCAAAGCAATCTGAAAGGTTAGAAGCTGTGCTACCAGCAGCTCACTTAGCACACCACTCTTTCTGGGTTCCAGTTTTTTCTATTAAAAAAAAATAGGATCATTATTTTATTACTGATATTACAGGTGAACCACATGGAATGTCCCAGCACTCCTCCACCAAACAAAAGTACTATTCATAATTTAGTTTATGATTTTTTTTTTTTATTATTAGGATTTGGGTGAAGATTTACAGAGTAAATTCACTTTTCATACAGCAGTTCACATATACTTTGTCTCATGTCATTGACCAAAA